AAATGATAATTATTACCTAATAATTAAGTCTTATCCTATACCTTAAGATAGACAAACCCAAGATTTATTTATATTTTATTTTTATTTCTTTTATAAATTTATTCATTTAAACCATAATTCATCTAATGTTAATAAAGCTACTTGAATTGGACTTGTCTATAATGCATTTAATAAAGAAAATGTTGTTAAAGAATAAATGGTTATTCTCAAAATGTTAAATCCCTAATTTGATCCTTAAACTATTGTATGGACCCTTAATTTGGTTGATATTGTTTACCAGTTTACCTAAAATTGGTCATTTCGTATAAAAACCAACTAATATGTTTTATTATTAACATGATATATGATGGTTAAGTTACTGTTTTTCGTTGTTAAGTTATTATTTTTTGTCGTTAAGTAAAAGATACGTCAACTATTTTTTGTACGAAAGAATCAACTTGAAGTAAATTAGTAAATAATATGGATCAAATTGGGGGTCCGTATAATAATTTAGAGATTAAATTAAGAATTTTTTAAGTTTAAAAGTTAAATCAAAAGTTCATATAATAGTTTAAATATCAAATTAAGGTTTTAATCTTCTCAAAATTCTTGGTACCTTTTGGGACGCATGATGGTGGACTCAGCAGTGGCTTTCCACTGGATGCGAAAATGGTCCATGGCGTTGGTCCTAATCCTTCATCATTTATGTAGTTTCTTCGACAAAAATTTCATTGTACCTGAGCTATTTATGGGGATTGATGATTAAACACTTTCATGTACCATGCGCCGAAAAAAGTTCTCATGTACTCATGTACGGGTAAATAGAGGGCATCATATGCAATATTACCTAAGTTGCCATTTCTTAAAAGTGTGTTGAATAAGTCCAACGACTAAAACGGTTTATTACTAACCTCTTTCTTAAGTAGAGTTAAGAGCAATTAGTTTAAATTTAAATTATAAGTATATAGATGTAATGAGTAAAGAAATGAGAGAATGTCGCATTATATTATATAAATTAAAATAACTCAAAAAATGTTGTGTAAATGGCAAATATTATGTTTTTTAATTATAAATATCATCTTTACTCCATAAATGCATGGTTCTAATTGTGTATAACTCAAATCAATATTGCGAGTTTAAGATTTTGAGATAATCGAAAAACATCATCAACTCCCATTTTTTTGTTAATATTTGAGTTCAAATCATCAAACAAATAAATCATTAAATTCAATAAAAATGTTTTAATTAAAAGACTTTTACACTAAATCTATAATAGTTCATTGATTACTTTCTTGTATAAAAATTTCTTACATATATGGACTTTGATCATCTACATACAACAAACACTTTTACGTAAAGTAAATTAGTAAAGTTTGTTTAGTTTTTTTACATAATTCTTACATTGAATACTGTAAGAATCAAAGATATAAAATAAAATTCCATATTTAACAAGAAGATAGAGTTGGAGTATGTTTGGTTTGACTCATTGATAGAATTGAAGGAGAGAGAATGATTGATTTTTTTAATTAATTAAATTATAATATTGGCCAATATTACAATATGTTTGGTAAAAAATTTGCCCATTTTCTTGTTCTCCTCAAATCAAACATATTCTAAAAAAAAAATCGTTATTCTTGGTTTTTTATTTCATACATAAAAAATACTAGTAACAATAAAAGATATTTAAAAGATTTTTGTTACAATGAGAAAATGTTTATCAATCAAACTTACAAGAAATTTAAGAAAAAAAATCACATAATTATATTATTTTAATGAACTTTGATTGAAAAATACTAAAATAATATATATATTTAAAGTAGTGATGAGTTTATTTCATTCTTTTATTATAGTGCTTTTGGGGCGTCTTCCTACTTAATATTTTGTAAATATAGTTAATAAATACTATATTGCATTATAAATCTACATAAAAAGTTATAAAGGTTACAAAAACTAGTATTTTTTTCACCAATTACAATTACAAACATACCCTCCATCAAAACAAAATTATTAATCTGCCCTTTTAACTTTATTTTTTTTTAAAAATCTTTTCCAAAGGAATCTAAAAATAAATATTTGACCAAATTTAGCATCCTAGAAACTCATATCAAGAGTTAAAATAAACTCTAGTTAAGTCCTATTGACTCAACTCAACCCAATATAAATTAGGGTTAACAACAAGAAATCTCATACATAAATTAACCAAACCAATACTGACTTTTCCCATTTTCTTTTTATTTTCTCTTATTTAGGTGGGGGAGGAAAAAAAAATGGAAATTCCTCTCAAGTTCCCTTGGGAGGGATTTTGAAAAATTAATCACTGTACCTTGTGATTGATGCTTGTCTGAGATTCAAAATTTCTTCACTTGGGGGAGACTTTCTGTTGACAGGTTTACATCCAATCCTCTTTTTTCTCTTTACCATTTTTCTTTTTCTATATAAAGTTTGTGTCTTTGCTGGTGATTTGTACTCTGTTCGTTGGAATTATGGAGTCTAGGGTTTCAGTTTACACTGGGTTTTGCAATTCAAAATGGGGTGACCGTTGGGTCCTGGTTGAAATCCCGTTTACTGTAGATCCATCTAAAGGTTTTTGTTGGAAATTAGCTCCTCAGTCGTTTCCCAGTAGATGGAATTACGACCCCTTGTTAGTGGGATTTTGTTTTGGTAGCTCAATGTGGCTTGAATTTCGCATTCTGTGGTCTGTGGGTGGAGAAATGGTGTAGAAGGTTGTGGGTCTTGATTTTTTTGAATCGTGTGGGCTTTTTTTTTATGTTATTTTCATTTAAATGAAATTCGTTAGTTCTTTCTTGTGGAGTTTGGAGTGTTTTTTTTTCTGATCTCGTTGAGAATTGAGTATTTTGGGTTTTGGGGATGTGATACAGAGATCTGTGGTGGGTTATGTTGGCTTGTTGCTTTGTTGTTTGATTGATTTATATTAATGAAATTTTCAAATATCTTATATTTAATTTTGTTGTTTGAAGATGGAGGAATTGATTTTGTTGATTATATTCTGTGGAGAAAATGATCATGATAATCTGTTAACTTTTAGGTGTGAAGGATATAAGAAACCTAAATCTCAAGAAAATAAGATTATTAATTGTTTTGAATCGAATATATGAATGGAGTTATCTACATATTTTTTGAACTGCTGCTTTGCAAGTATTTAGAGAGGTTGTTTTCCATTGTAGAGGCTCGTGACCAGCACAAAAATTCGGATCATAAAGGAATTGCAAGTTTGATATAACAATGGAATTTGAATTTCACTGTCATGTAAATTGTTTTCTGGGAGTTCATCAGTCTATGAAGTTTTAAGTCAAGGAACAGTAAACATTCAGGATTTTATATTCATTGCTTTAGATTTATGTTTATGTTGTGTCTAGGGTTATTTGTGTTGCTTCTGCATGGTATATCTTGGATGTAGATGTAATAAATAATTTATTACTTCCAAAAGTTTCCCTCTCTGCATAGATATGTCAAACATCACCCATCTGTCCCATTTTTCGTGTTTTATAATGCTATATTGTGGCATCATGCGCTCAAACTATGTTTTAAAGCTAGTGGAACTAGGTGACGTATTGATGTGCTTTTTGATTGAGGAATCAACAATTTAGTTGTTAGTTATCAGGCTACAATGCAGGCTTCCCTGTATATCTCCTCTTTTCTATGTTTTTATGTCTACACCTGATATGCTAACCTCTTTAAATTGTAATTCTGGTGTTTGAAAACCTACAATACAAAAATCATTTAAGTTTTACTCCTCATTTATTTCTCTAATATTCTGAAAGCTATATTAGGGCACCACACTTTTATAAATTGCCATGCACGTTTGCATATGCATGGATTATTTTGGAAAGTGGACATATTTAATCTCTGACAACTGTTATTAGGATTGTTAAATCTATGCATGTTCCATCAACAGTTATTTTTTGTGGGGCTAGCTATAGAATGTACTAGTATTGCTGTGTGGCATTGTGTCTAACTCGGGGAATTTGCGTAAGTATTATCTTCACCTGTTTTTAAGGAAGCAAATCTGAGTTCTCTCCTATAAAGGAAATAAACGGATAACACTCAGGATTATGAGTAATAAAGGAAGAGTTTCATACCCTCTCTTTACACGTGTTGGTTTTGTTTGGTTGCCAGTGCTGGACCTCTATTTTCCATTCTTGTTGTCATCACGTCATCAAGTGCTTATTTCTCACATATAGAAAAGAGCACACCCATGCATTTATGTTCAGATACATCAAATCACATATGCACAAGTGCAAGTGCACAAGTGTACGGGTTCACAGGTGTGTGTGCATGTTCTAGAGTTATTTGTTAACATTATTGCACCTTTTTATCAATCTTTTACATTTTGTGAAAAGTCTTGAATTAGGAAGCCTAGGAGTATCATAATAAATTACTGGTTTCTGTGGAGAGGAACTTGAAGTTATATATGGGGTAATGCTAGGAATGCTCTTAACTTGTTACTTGTTTACTTTACATTGTAATTTCCAAGGAATTAAATTTTCTAGGTCTGATATTTTTCCTAAAAGAACTTTTCTTCCTTTGGATCAGGTATCAAAAAATTCAAGGTGCTACCTCTATCTGATATATGAACGGGCCTTGATCTGTATAACATGATTCTTGGTTGGGGGTTTTTCCAGTATCCATAATAACCAGTGACAAAGAAGCAGAAATACCCAAGCAATTATGGAGTGCAATAAAGATGAGGCAGCCAGAGCTAAGGAAATTGCTGAGAAGAAGGTTAAAGAGAAGGATTATGCTGGAGCAAAGAAATTTGCTTTGAAGGCTCAGAATTTGTATCCTGGGCTTGAAGGTCTTGACCAAATGCTGACAACAATTGGTGTATACATCTCTGCAGAAAATAAAGTCAATGGGGAAGTGGATTGGTATAAAGTACTTGATGTAAATCCTGGTGCTGATGACGAGACAATTAAGAGACAATACAGGAAGCTGGCCTTGTTGCTTCACCCTGATAAAAACAAATCAGTCTGTGCAGATGGTGCATTTAATCTTGTTTCAGAGGCCTGGACCTGCTTATCTGATAAGGCAAGGAGGTTAACATATAACCAGAGGACACAATCTAGGGGTCTTCAACAGAAGTTTCCAATGCAGAGTGGGGTTTCAGCAGTGCCACCCAGAGCGAATGGCTCTCACAATTCTAGCAATAATGTTGCTTCAAATGCTAGGACTTACAGCAGTCAAAACTGGATGGGCCCGGCATCAGTTACCCCTCCTGCAGATAAAAAGCCTGCTACCTTCTGGACTCTTTGCAATAGATGCAAGACACAGTTTGAATACCTGAGGATTTACCTGAATCACAATCTTCTATGCCCTAACTGTAAGAAGCCCTTTTTGGCAGTAGAGAAAGCACCACCCTCTGTTTATGTGCCATCAAATAGTTCTCGTCAACAGCAGCAAAATTCAGGACATCATGCTGCAAACAGTAACTCTTTTAATTATGGAAGCAATTCTTCAGTTGCTCAAACAGGGCATGCAGGATTAACAGGTCATAGTTCATCTAATAATACAAGCTTCCAATGGGGTTCTTACTCCAGGATGTCTGGTATTAATAGCACAGTTGGATCAACATCTGTTGCTGCTGAAGCAGCACATGTTATTCAGCAGGCTCAGGAGAAAGTTAAGAGAGATCGTGAAGAAGCACAGGCAGCTGCTGGATGGGCTGGGAATAATACGTCATATAGAATGGGTAACTCTAATCTCAAAAGGAGAAAAGATGATATCCGTTTTAATGGCAATGTAGGTGGCATGGCAACTCAAATGGCTGTGGGAAGTGGACCTGGCCAGGGGAGTGTGTCTGAATCTAGGAGGAGTATTCTTGAAACACAAGGTATATACAGGTTGTCTGGCATTTATCAGAAGCCCAAGAGTGAGAGAGAATTGTTGTCTTTCGAACTTCGAAGCATGCTGGTGGATAGGGCACGCACTGAAATCTGTCAGAAACTTCATGAGTGGAGGTCAGTAGCTGAAGCTAAGAATGCTGAGAAAGAGAAGGCAAGGGAGAGAGAGAGTAAGAGAAACAAAGGGGTGCTGAACAACGATACACATGGTGTTGATAAGCATGTGGGGCCTGCTGTTGCCAATCAGGGCAAGAAGTCTCCTCCCAACTCCTCTCCTGATGATTTAGAAGCAGAGGCCCCAGCACTAATGTCAATTAATGTACCAGATCCCGATTTTCATAATTTTGACTTGGATCGTACTGAAGTTTCCTTTGCAGAGGACCAAGTCTGGGCTGCGTATGATGGAGATGATGGGATGCCTCGTTACTATGCTCGAATCCACAAGGTGATCTCTTTGAAGCCATTTAAGATGAAAATCAGTTGGCTTAATTCAAGAAGCAACAATGAATTGGGTCCATTGGACTGGATAGGTTCTGGTTTCTCAAAAACTTGTGGTGAGTTCAGAGCTGGCAGGCATGAAATGAATGAAACCTTAAATTTTTTCTCCCACAAGGTTCACTGGACAAAAGGTATACGTGGGGTGATTCGAATTTATCCTCAAAAGGGGGATGTCTGGGCCCTTTACAGAAACTGGTCTTCTGACTGGAATGAGAATACTCCAAAAGATGTGATCCACAAGTATGACATGGTGGAAGTGCTTGATGACTTTAATGAAGAACGAGGTGTGTTGGTAGCCCCTCTGATTAAGGTTGGCAGTTTTAGGACAGTATTTCGTAAGAATGAGGACCCCAAGGAAACCAGGAGGATTCCAAAAGCAGAGTTGTTTTGCCTGTCACATCAGGTACCTAATTACTTACTTACAGGCCAGGAAGCTCATAACTCTCCAGTGGGATGTCGTGAGTTGGACCCAGCAGCCACCCCTTTAGAATTACTTCAGGTGATCAATGAAGCAGGCAAAGCACCTGGAGCAGGCAATTCTCAAAAAACTGAGGAAGCAGTGTCACAAGGTGCATCAAAAATGGAGGTAGATGAGATAGCCAAGGATTTTTCAAAAGCCAAAGGTGAGGTGATAGAGGAGGACAATAAACCAGCAGAGGATGACCATAGTACTGCATTGCCAGGAGAAGCCTAGGATGTTGATGCGTAGTTGATGCTGAAAAAGCCGTGAAATTAGAACGTGGAGACTGCCGACTACACCAGCTAGGTAAGTTGCTGAAATTGTAAGCATGGTCTGAGCTGTAGAAATTGTTTTGTGCCATAGTTGGATTCAAGAGGGATCCAATTTTTTAGTTTCTTGCATAGGAAAATTTCATATAAAAACTCCTAATTTGATCATACCCAAAGTTTAATAGGAGATTGTTGTTGAACTGTATTGACAGTGTTTACAACCATAAATGATGGTTTTTGTTATACATGATTTCAGTGTAATTCTGCATTTTCATTGCAGTTGAAAGGTTGATTGCTGGATAAATTCTTGTATTTCCATCCACTTTGTTTCCTCAGGGATGGAGATGTGGGAAGTGTTAATCCCATCCCACTTCCCCATCAGGTGGTCTTTTAGGTATAGGAGTAACTGCAAAATGAATGGCCCCAAACCGAGGGTTTCCCCTCTCTGGTGCTTAATCCCACCATTGTTTAAGGTATCATTTTTATTTCAAGGGTTATCCATTACCTGTTGTATTACATACGGTGCTCCACCGTGGCGTGGACGTGTCAATTTTCTCGCATTTCCTTTCCCTGGAAATGCAAGTGAAAACCCTGAGCACGCACGTAGGTTTAACATCAGGTTAACAGGTTCTTCTTTCTTGTTCATTTTCTCTTGGATCATGAAGTTAATATGCTCAGTCTTGAGAGGGTTTTCAATTCTTAATCTTGGTTCCGGAATCAAGAGTATTTATTTTCCTGTTGAATACAACACAAAGTAGGAAAGTTAATTGTTTAGTATTGCAAAGGCATTTAGTTGGAACTATCATCGAAGTTACTTTCTTGAGGAAATTTCTTTAAAGTGGGTCTACTAACTTTTTTTTTTTAAATTAAGTGAAGACTAAATTTTAAGTTTTGTTTAAGTGAAAATGTTCTCTAACTAAATGCTTCATAAGTGTATTAGGGGTTTTTTTTGAAAAGTTCAAAATGTTATTTTTTGAAAAATAATTAAAATATTAAGTATTTATTAATTTTAATTATATAAATATTAAAAATAAAAAATATAACAATAAGCAAAACTCTCCCTCTCCTCTTTTTTATTATTTTTTTGTACAATTTGATATATTATTTAAATAATTAATTCTTTTTATTAATGTTATTTATGC